ACAGAGCTCCCTATTGGGTCAGCCACGCCGCTCCCTCCAGCACAGCGCCCCCTATTGGGTCAGCCACGCTGCTCCCTCCAGCACAGCGCCCCCTATTGGGTCGACCACGCCGCTCCCTCCAGCACAGCGCCCCCTATTGGGTCAGCCACGCCTCTCGCTCCAGCAAGCGCCCCCCATTGGGTCGACCACACCGCTCCCTGTAGCACAGCGCCCCCTATTGGGTCAGCCACGCTGCTCCATCCAACAAGCGCCCCCTATTGGGTCGACCACGCCGCTCCCTCCAGCACAGCGCTCCCTGTTGGGTCAGCCACACGGCTCCCTGCAGCACAGCGCCCCCTGTTGGGTCGGCCACATGGCTCCCTCCAGCAAGCGCCCCCTGTTGGGTCGGCCTCCAGCACAGCGTCCCCAGCCCCGTCCTGTGATGTTGGGCTCAGCACTGACTCTGAAGAGCGAATGCCCCCTGCTGAGCCCCCTCCAACTCCTCTCCCCCCCCGCCCAGCTTCCTGGGTTGTGCTTGGGGGCCCTGGCCAAACACTGATCAGACCTGACCTTTGTAAGTTCCTTGGCGGCAGGGAGGTGGTGGTCTCCTGTTTGTACATAGATTCATAGATTCATAGATTCTAGGACTGGAAGGGACCTCGAGAGGTCATCGAGTCCAGTCCCCTGCCCGCATGGCAGGACCAATACTTTCTAGACATCCCCGGGGTGGGGGGAGGATCCAAACGACAGGACGGCTGCGGAGATCTTACACCATCTGTGCCCGATATCATTGCTGCAGGCTGGTGTTGCTTAGACAGGAAATGTTGTTGCTTATTCACGAGCCGGTTAGGCTCTCTAGGGCACGTCACCGTCCCAGCGGTCTGGGCAGAGAATAACGCTGCAATGTGGTCTCTTTCCCGGCAGGAGGCTCCGGCCTGTCCTGGGGGAGAGCGGAGGATGAGCCCCGTGCCCCCGTCTGCAGCGTCGCCCGGCTGTTGTCACGCGGTACAGGCTGACCCCGTTCCGACCCGCCACCGGCACCGAGCGGAAGGATGAACGCTTCCGGGGATGCAGAGAGCATCCGGAGGTGCGTCATCTGGCTCTCAGACCCACTCTCGCTCGTCATCATCCTGGCCAACCTCTTCATCATCCTCGGGATCCTCCGCAACCGGAAGCTGCCCAGGGCCGCCAGTTGGTTCTTTCTCAGCCTCCTGTTTGCTGATCTCCTGGCCGGGGTGGCCCTGCCCTTCATCCCCAGGATGCAGTGTGAGAATAACCGGGGCTACCACAGCTGCTTCTTCGTTCATGTGACCCCCAACTACTTCTTCCTCGCCTTCCTGGCCAACCTGCTGGCGGTGCACTACGAGAAGTACCTGTGCATCCGCTACCCGCTGCACTACCACCACTTCTGGGTGCACCGCTGGGTGCCCCTCTGCCTGCTGCTGACCTGGGCACTGCCTTTGCTCTTTGCCTGCCTGCCGGTGCTGGGGTGGAACCAGTGGGGACCCAACTCCAACTGCTCCTACAAACAGATCTTCCCCCCTGCCTACCTCTACCTGGAGATCTACGGCTTCCTCATCCCCTCCATCCTGGCCATGGCCTTCATGTCCACCCAGATGCTGCGGGTGGCCAGGCACCAGCTGCAGGAGATCAAGAAGGTGCTGCGCTCCGTGCACCAAGGCCAGGGCCCCTCGGAGCTGGAGCAGCAGCTGGAGCTGAGGCACGCCAAGTGCATCGCCAGCCTCTTCCTGATCTTCCTGGTGTGCTGGGTGCCCTACGTGGCCGGCCTGCACGTCTCGGTGCTGGCCATCCAGAACCACATCTCCATTGACAAATACACCCTCCTCATCCTCACCTGCGTGGGCAGTGGCAGCGCCGCCGTGGTACCCATCATCCTGGGGCTTAGCAACCGCCAGTACACCCAGTTCTGGAGGGACGTGGCGGCCAAGGGCTACGCTGGCTGCAGGGCGCGGTGCTGCGAGCGAGGGGAGGCCGGACGCCACCAGGATGGGACGTCACAGAGCAGGGCCCCCTGTCCTCCGGCAGAAGGGCTGGCTTCAGCTCCCAGCTGATGTCCTGGCCCCTGCGATGGAGACGCCAAACCTGCGACCGTGGCCTCTTGCCACAACAAGACAAGGCTGGGATTCACTGGAGATGCAGCCGCTGGGGGGTCAACGTGGACCTTCCGGAGGGATCCAGTGATTTACTGGGCCGTTATATTTTAATGACTGAGGTGGGTAGGTAACCTCATCCTCCCCCGCCCACACACGGAGGCTGGGCTGGTCATTGCTGTTTTCTGCACTTTGATTGGTCTAAAGAGCAAGCGTGGGTCTCATGCTCCGTCCAATCAGATGTCGGTACGTTCGTTTTTCAAAGCAGGCCGTCGATTCCGTGAACGATCTCGGCTTCTGAGTGGCCGGTTCCTCACTACACGATCCACCCTCCTGCAACCGGATTGGCTGGGGTGGCTTCCATCTGGTGTGCTTCCATCCCACGACGATGCTCATCAGTTATATTTGTCCCCCGGGGGTAAGACCTGAGTTTCTGGGCTGGTGTGGGACCCGATCCTGCCAGGGTCTAAAGGGTGCCCTGACCTCTCAGGGTCAGGGCCGCCAGCATTCTCAGATCCTTTGCTGAGGTTAACCCCGAGGTGAATGTGTGACGTCGCTGCGCCCCGTGGGTGCAGACTACAGGGCGACGTCTGAGGCCCTCTATTCTTGCTGCCAATGGGGCTGGGAATTCCTGGGGCCCCAGTACCCTCGCTGGTGCAACTTGAAGAGACTCCCTCCCTCCAAGTGCGATTAGACGAGAGCA